CAGAGTTGGAAAATAGAGCCTATGGAGAAATTTGAAGGAAATAAGCTTTGCCTGAAAAAAAAATCATTTTTTAAAAAATTTGACCTATAACTGCAGTATGATATAAGTTGCAAGTGTACAATAGAGTGATTCACAGGTGGCTCAGAGGTTAAAGCATCTGCCTGCAATGCTGGAGACCTGGGTTCGATCCCTGGGTCGGGAAGATCCCTTGGAGAAGGAAATGGCAACCCACTGCAGTATTCTTGCCTGGAGAATCCCAGGGATGGAGGAGTAGGCTGCAGTCCACGGGGTCGCAAAGAGTCAGACATGACTGAGCGGCTTCACTTTCCCTTTCACTCCATCTATGGGCTTCCCTGGTGGCTCAGTGGTAAAGAATCCTCCTACAATGCAGGACACAGGAGACGCAGGTTCGATCCCTGGGTCAGGAAAATAATCTGGGGGAGTGCATGGCAACCCACTCCAGTATTCTTGCCTGGAGAATCCCAGGGACAGAGAAGCCTGGCGGGCTACAGTCCACAGGGTTGCAAAGAGTCAGACATGACTGAAGTGACTGAGCACACAGTCCATCTAGAGTTATTATAAAATACTGGCTGTGTTCCCTGTGTTGTACAATGTAGCTTGAAGCTTATTTTATTTGCAGCTTATTTGACACCTAATAGTTTGTATCTCTTATCCTCTTAACCTTTTACTGCCCTTCTCCCCTTTCCCTCTCCCACTGATAACCACTAGTTTGTTCCTTATATCAGCAAGTCTGCTAAAAGTGGGCTTCTTACAATTCTTTTCTTCTAGCAGAGGTTAGTAAATTTTTTTTTTTTTGTGGACCAAGAGGCACCACTGTGTTATATAGTAATACTGTGTAGATATTTAGTAGAGAAAACAAGTTTCCACATTTTTACTTGTGAAGTTAAAAATATAGTAATTGAGTCCACTGTTTTAAAGGCTTTTGTTTTTTTTTGATATGGACTATTTTTTAAAGTCTTTATTGAATTCATTACAGTATTACTTCTGTTTTACATTTTAGTTTTGTGCCCACAGGGCATATGAGATCTTAGCTGCCTGTCTAGGGATTGAACCTGCACCCCCTGCATTGGAAGGGAAGTCTTAATTACTGGACAACCAAAGAAGCCTTGAGTCCAATTTTTAAACAACGAGAAGAATGGAATTATTTTGGGAGGATAACATTTTCCTTTGTCGGGGTTGTGAATCAGTGTTCCCTATTATCAAATACTCATCTGTGAAAACTATTCTTAGTTCATGGTTGATACAAAATAGATGCTGAGCCACATTCAGACCACAGGCCACAGTTTTCTGGCCTCTCCCCTGGAGTTTTTCAGAACAGGGGCAAAGAGCTATTCTCAGCATCCATCAGTAACTGTATTAAACAGAATGAACATGAATGTCAGTGATAGGAATCAATACTTTAGCAACAGAGTAGGCAAGGGCTATGGGGAAGGAAATACGGGGAAATTAACTAGCTCTTTTGATCTTTAAATTTAGATAAAAAAAGAAATCTAAAAATCTATATACCCCATGTTACACCCAGAAATATTTTTTCTAGGTGATGACTTTGTGTCAGTTTTTACATTTTTTTCTTCCATTATGTAGTTTTAAAGCTTAGTTTTGTTAATATACAAAATAAATTTTAACTGTAAATAAGGTCTGGGCCTAAAAATAAACACCCTGTTCTCAGTTAAGGCCTATTGATTTCCATGAATAAATACAGTGTAAGAGTTTTCAATAAAGTGATGCCCTTAAAAGCACACTTCCTGGATTTTTTTCTTATTTGTTTTATTGTAGAGTATACCAGGTACCATAATGCATTGTGGGTTAGGTTGTATGGCAGACAGAAAATATGTTCCTCTAATAGAGGGGTATATATTCAATGTTGACTAATACATCACATACATCAGTGTTGCTGGTTATCTTCCTAAAAGGAAGACTTCAACTTTGATGAAGACAAACCAAGCCCAACTGTGTGAGCATTTTACATGTACCTCAATGCAGCTCTTATATTCTTTGTCAGGAAGGGAAACTCAGCTAACACACATAGTGCTTGCAGGTAAGACTTCTGATACAGGTAGAAACAACTTTGAAATGAAACTTAATTTTAGCAGAGCACTCAATATATGCTTATTTTTTTTCCTTTGAGCCTTAGTTTTGTGTAGTTTGCATAGAATGTGATATCTTTCCTTTCTCTAAAATGTATGACGTTGATAAGGTACCTTGCAAAGCAAATAACACTTCCTTGTGTGATGTCTACTCATTCTTCAAGACTCAGCCCAGTGCCTCCTGCTCCAGGGACCTCCCGTCAGCAGCCCTCACACCTAGGTCTGAGCTCTGCTTTCTTGGTGCTCCCACGCACACTCTGCCCTTATCACACTTCCACATGGTGGTGTTTGTCTCTGTAAAAATCCATCTACCCAATTAGACTTTGGGCAACTTTAAGGCAGGGATCACATCTCATTCACTCCAGCTTTATTCCTGGTGCCTAGAGTGGTGCCAGACCTTTAGTAGGGGCTCGTTATAAGCTTCCTAAATTAAGGGGTAAGGGAATGGACTCACAGAGGGATAGACAGGGATGGATCAACACCGTTTCCCCCACTGTTTTCCAAAAGAGTCAGTGAGGTTATGACATAATTCAGGATGTGGAATAAGGATGAGGGGAGCAGGAAATGGAAAAGGAGGTACCCAAAAAGGAGAAGGGCCTTTATCAGAGAGTAGGAGGAATGAGACACAGCCTGTGGTTTGCTGGATCCAGTTAGGGCCAACGGCGTGCACCCTTTGTAATGCTGGCTGCAGGGTTGCCTAATCAATGTGGGTCGTTTTTTCTTTACTTTTCCTTCCTTCCTCCCTCCCTCTCTTTCTTCCTTTCTCACTTTTCCTTATTTATTTAATTAGCTATGTATTTGTTCATCCTTACCATTTTGTACTGTCTTTTTAAAATTTTTTTGAAAGCACTCAAGATATTTTATTCTGGCATCTAATATAATTTCAGCAAAGTATTTCATAGCTTATTTTATACAAAATGGGCAAGGAGAAATATTTATTGAGCATTAGTCTTTACTTAGAAACTTAAGTAAAACATAGAGTACATATAAAAAATTGACCCTACTCTGAAGAGCCCTGAAATTGGTGAATGAGAGAAAATAAGCACACCAAAAAAATTTAATAACACCCAAGGCAATACACAACACTTCCTTACTCTTCTTCAATACCTGACAATTTATTTTCTAAAATATATGTTGATCCTGCCGCTTTCTTTCTTAGTGGAGGTCCCCGATCACCTCTCGCCGGAACCACCAGTAGAGTTCCCCATCTCTACTGAAAGCAGCCTAAGGAAGGCTCTGCGTAGCAAAGGTTTATGAGAACAGAACTCCGTCTACACTGAGGGCCACTGGAGTGGTAACAAGGGAAAAAGGGAGAGGGTTCCATCACTTTCATTGCTGAAAACATAGAGATTCTTCCTTTTGTTTACATATAGGTGATGGGGTTGAGGGGGGAGGGGAACCTTTCTTGTGGGAGCATTTTCTTGGTCCTTTAACACCAGTCCCCGAAAGGGCTTTTATGATTTATCAACATGCAGGACTGCAAGCACAATCCCAGGTTCCTTCCTGCATCTGCAGTGTTCTTCTGTTGCATCTTGGAGAACTGGTTTAGCTTCCTGTGATGAGTCTGCCAAGGCAGAGATGCAGGAGACATGGGTCTGATCCCTGGGTCGGGAAGATTCCCTGGAGGAGGAAATGGCAAACCACTCCAGTATTCTTGCCTGGGAAATCCCATGAACAGTGGAGCCTGGTGGGCTACAGTCCATGGGGTTACAGAAGAGTCAGACATGACTGAGCACGCATGCACGCACAAGCTAAAACACATCTTTGATATTTGACCCACCTGGTTTTTTCTTCCTTCTTGTTCTGACCCAAATTTCAGCCCCATTTCTAGCCAATAGAGCTTGGAAAGAAGCTGCAGATGAGCAAGCTGAGGAGTACATGTCCCCAGTGCATTCCTGTAGCTGTAAACTGAGAAGCCTGGGGCTGGAAGTGGTCCCCCCCGGGCCATAAGAAGCATTTTGCTAGAGATCCCGGGAGAGCAGAGATGTAAAGGCGGCTGGTTTCCACATTCACCAAGTGCCTAATGCCCATGCTAGGTATTCAAGAACTAAGTCTATGTGTGCAGGAGAACATTATGGTTTTCATTTTTAAAATTCATCCAATACTAACTAGAAAATGAGAACAGTTATTAATTTTATAGCAGTCGGTTTTCAAAAAAGAAGAGAGTAAGTTCCTACACATGAACTTGGAAACACTCTATTTTTCAAGAGAAAACGAATGTGATAATCTGATGGAAGTACTCCTGGCATGGAAAGTGAAACTGCTCACTGATGGATGAGCCAGCTTGCTGCTACATGTTAAAATTTGGGAAAAAGTTGAAGGAAGTTTGTTTCTTTAAGTATCATTGTCTCTTCTCTTGCTATGGTCTGATGTAAGCAAAAGTAGTTAATGTTCTGATACAAAGGACTCATTTTTGTAGTTTCAGAAAGAAACTTAAATGTTTTCCAGGAGCTTGTAAACATTTCCCTATATTTGTAAAGAAAACATGGAGGGCTTAATATTTGATATTTTCTAAAGTTTTTGGAAGCCATTTGGAGGGCTTGGAGCTTACAATATCAAAGTTAGAGAAAAGAAGAAAACCCATCCATCTGGATTTAAACCATTCCAAGGGCAGGATACATATCCAGAGGTTCATCCATTCCAATACTTCAGCAGTTGAGTCATTTAGCCTTCAGAATTGTTTGGGAAAAGTCTTTCTACCATTTGTGTATCATACTCTCTTATTGTTGTATAAACATATATATTTTTTATTCATACTTGCAAGAAAGCCTACTTTTAATAAACCAAGTAATAGATGTGAACTATGGGATTCACAGGGCTAGGTAGCCCAAGTAACAGATGTGAACTATAGGATTCATGGGGGTAGCTGGCCTAAGGAACCGGCATACTTACAATTGCATTTCTTCTGAACAAACCTCAACTTGCATGCTGTTCTATAGGTGGAGAGTCGGATACGATCCAGGTCTTGAGCCCCTGGGGGTAGATAAAAGGCACACATGTGGTCTGCTTGCTTGTGGAAAGGAAGTGGTCATGGTCATAAATGAAATAACTACAAACCTAACCGAGACATGCAATTTGACTTGCATCTTTACTAGTATAGAAATTTAAGACCTGAGGTCTGTCCCGTATGCCTCAGGTTCTGGGACATCAGGTTGTCAATCCTGTCCCTGGGTTAAGGAACACAAGCTCAGTCCTGTGGTGTCTGCCACTTCTGAGAACAGTTGGCTTAAACTGCTAGATGACTCCAGATAGTAATATTATCAAATGATGATTTTAAATGCACTGTAATCTGTAATTAGAGTGCAGCTGGGAGGTGAGCACAGGCTGAACGCTGGACATCTGCTCTTGGTTCCTTCAGGCCAATTGCTTTTAGAAGCCTCAGTTTTCTCATCTGGGAAATGGGATTGATGATAATACTACTACTTACCTCATGGACTGTTGAAGGATAAATGCATGTCTATCAGTCTAAGACACTGGGGACACTGCTTGGTACACATTACGTACATCATTATTGTTGCTCGTGTCTATCCTACAAAGCTTCCTGTCAACCTCAGAGCAGTCTCCTTTTTAAAAACAACCATGGTTGTAGACTTGTGGTTGCCAAGGGAGCAGGGTGAGGGAGGGATCAGTTGGGAGTTTGGGAACAGCAGATGCAAACTAGTATACAAATAGCATGGATAAACAGAAGGTCCTATTGCACAGCACGAGGAACTATATTCAATATCCTGTGATAAATCATAATGGAAAAGAATGTATGTATATGTATAACTGAATTACTTTGCCATACAGCAGAAATCAGCACAGTATTGTAAACCAACTAAAATAAATTTTAAAAAATAAAGAAAAAAATTAAAAAAATAAAGACAAGCACTATTCTTTCTGCCACTGTGGCCTCCAGTTCCTCCCTGACATAGCATGTTCTCCATATTCTTGAACTGCTTTCTTTAGCCCACTTCTTTACTCAAGGTCAAGAATCCAGCATGGCTCCTGATGCCTACAGCACCAGGGCTGAAAGTTCTGCCCGGAATCCAAGCCCCGCTGCAGGCCTCTTTCCTTCCTACCTTCCCCACAACATTCCCCACCACTCTGCCCCCAAACCTCTGCTGGGCTTGGGCTGGTCTCCTCATCAGCCCTTGTAGACGGGCTGCTTGTTACATCAACACCTGAGTTCCTGGCCATCCTCCCACACTCCTCCGAAGGGGCTAATTTCTAGACTGTCTCTAGAACATAGCAGATGTTCAACTAATGTCTGTTTGCTACTTCTAAATGTTTTGCTTCTTTCAAGCCCATGCTTATATTCATAACAGATATCAAGGCATATGGCTCTACTTTGATATATTAAAAAAATTTTTTTTTGGCTGCACCATTTGGTATGCAGGATTTTTTTTAACTTTACTTATTTATAAATAACAGGAGACTCAGGTTCCATCTTTGGATCGGGAAGATCCTCTGGAGAAGAAAATGGCAACTCACTCTAGTATTGTTGCCTGGGAAATCCCATGGGCAGAGGAACTTGGCGGGCTATAGTCTGTGGGGTCACAAAGAGTTGGACATGACTTAGTGACTAAACAACATCACCTATTACTCCATGGTTTTATGAGGCAGTTCATTAACATTCAATCTTATGAGAATTTATTACTTGACAAACAGACTCATTGATACTGAATGCTTGAAGGATCAAAGAGGGAGGACTTACCTTCACCCAATGCAGAAAATTGCCTAAATATGTTCTCAATAGATGGACATTTAGCCAATGGCCATAAAAGATTACTTGCAATGATAGGGATAATTTTAAAACTTAGTGAAAATATATGAGCTATATATTCAGTAACCCTAATCTTTCTCTTCCTCGTTGTATGAACTTTGAGAAGTTTTTACTTGTCTTCCGATTTCTTCATGTATACAATGAGGAGAATAGCATCAACTTTTACCAGCTGGTAACCTCTGTAGCTGGTACCTATTGAGCATTTAAGAGCAAATGGACATCCTTATGAGGTTTTCGGTGTCACTGCTGAGCAACAATAAGTGATAGACATTTCTTCTTTATATTTGGGCTTTCATTTGCCTCCCTGTAACTTCAATCCATTTCATCTGATTTCCCTTCTGAAACCATATCATCTTTTCTCTCTGCCACTTAACAAAATTTATTTTTCAAAGTTTGAGAAGCAGCTATTGCAATCATCATTAGCATCTGGAGATTATGTACAAAAGTTCTTGTCATCACAGAGTTTAAAATTTAGGTGGGGGGGGGTAGCGTCTCCTTGAGACTTTCGGGTTGAAGAGTCCAAGTCCAAAGCCATTTCAAGTACAATGTCTATCCAGAGAGTGGCATACAATGGGAATCAATATATGGATGTTGTTATTATTGTTATTATCATCAGACATGGACTTGAGACCCTTACCCATTCCAGTGATCCTGTTCTGTCTGACTAATATCTCCTTGAAATGGGATATATGAAGTTAACCCAAAGTGAAAAGTAGAAGTGAAAGTGTTAGTCACTCAGTTTTTTTCTGACTCTTTGTGACTTGGTGGACTGTGGCGCACCAGGCTCCTCTATCCATGGAATTTTCCAGGCAAGAATACTTGAATGGGTACCCATTCCCTTCTCTAGGGGATCTTCCTGACTAAGGGATCGAGCCCAGGTCTCCCATGTTGCAGGCAGATTCTTTACTGTCTGGGCCACCAGGGAAGCTCAAAATTAGCCCAAATGCCACAGCTGTTGCCTACCTGTGTGGAATGTACAGAAAGCAATTGTTACCACTACTGATAAGGGAAGTAACTGATGCCATTTTTTTCCATAGATGGTTCATTCTTCTGGCTCTTTTAAGCTAGAAGTTCATTAAAACTGGCTTTTGAAATCATAAGCACTTTTATTAAGTCATATCTTTTCTGTTTAAATGCTTATTTGGGGGCTAAAGGTAGGACTTCACATTTAATCTGCTTAGTTTCTTTTACTTTTTAAGCTCATATTTCTAACCCTTATGATACTTATATTTTTATTTTGCCACTGGCATTTCAAAGGACCTTCCTAGTTTCATGTCATCTGTCAATCTGAGAGGCTCATGTGGGAAATGACCTCTCTAGAATACAGGATAAGCAGAGACACAGAGACAATCAGAAATACATGAGCATTAAATCTGTCTTTTTCCCCAGGGTGAAGCTGTACTTTTAGCAATGCTCAGTTTGGTTCAACAATTAAGAGAATCTCAGTATCTGTAAATAATCCTTTAAAAGATGACATTATGGACATAGACAATTTATGTAAGTTCTTCAAAAATAATGATTCAAGCCCCAGGATTAAAAGAACTGTGATGTAGCACACAATTAAATTTCTTAGTTCCAGTGAGACCTCATCCTCTAAGAACAGAAACCCTGGATCCTCTGCTGCTCCTTCTCATAGGGTTCCTACGGGGCATTCAGCGAAGGTGCCACTCCCCGGGATGCAGTAAAAGGGGTGTAGAGATGATGCCTAGGGTCAGGAATACCCTGACTCCTTTGCCCATTACCATGTAGATGCAGCTGACCCTCTGCTTAGTTCAAACCTCAGGTAGGGGTCTGGAGGTCTGGCAAAGCTTTCAGTTTGTAAAGCTTCTTTCTGGCTGAGGATGTAAGCCCTGAATATTAAAAGGATGTGGTGAGCAATGATGTTTAGCTTTTCAGATGCAGCAGCCCACTGCCTCACAGGGATCATGTAAGTGGCAACCACGGGATCCATCACGGATTCTGGAACTCAAAAAAGCTGCTGAGACAGACTGGACAGGTTCTTGCTCCATTTACCCATCTTGTTTACAATAAATTTGCTGGTCGCTGGCCCAATAAACCATGAACTTAATTCATTTTGACATGTGTGGTCTTTTCCTTCAAAGTCTAAAAACTCATAGCCTACCTTGGGTGTAGTCACATGTCTTCTGTGTCCAAGCCACTGGCTAAAATCAAACAGCTGTCCAGGGCCACAGAGTCTTCCAAAATATAATTGGAGGCTGTCCTCCAAGTTGATGGATCCATTACTTATTCCTTCAGATATGGTCTCAACTCCACCTACGCATCTACATAATTGTATGGTGATACAGCTCACACTTCCCCAGTGCACGTACAACCTGATACTTTCTTCAGTATTTGCTGAAGTTAAGGTTCATTTTTATCTTGTGGTATTTTCCTGAGCAAGCAGTTTAGTAACCTTATTAAAAAGGGAAATAAGCTGACTTAATTCATTTATAAAATGGATGGAATTTGAATAAATGAATAAGGAAATGAAATCAATAGAGTAATCCTTATTCTTAGCATGTTGAAATGTCTAGGATTACCACTACATTTTGTCCATGACCTGAGGAAAAAAAAAACCCATTTTATCTTGAAACCTACATCAAAATCACTCTATACTCTCAAGAATCTAATTCTTCCTTTGTAATAAAAACCAAAGTATTGTACTTCTTTATATTTTTGAAAAAGTGAAAGTGAAAGCTGCTCAGTCGTGTCCAGCTCTTTGCGACCCCATGGACTATACAGTCCATGGAATTCTCTAGGCCAGAATACTGGAGTGGGTAGCTTTTCCCTTCTCCAGGGGATCTTCCCAACCCAGGGATCAAACCCAGATCTCCTGCATTGCAGGCAGATTCTTTACCAGAATCTTGAGCCACAAGGAAAGCCCTCTCTATATTTTTGCCTCTTTATTAAATAATAGTGTTTTCCCATTATTATTATATCATACGGATATGATCCTGTTTAAAAAACTTTTTATTTTGTATTGAGATATTTCCTGGTGGCTCAGATGGTAAAGAATCTGCCTGTAAAGCAGGAGACCCAGGTTCCATCTCAGGTTTGGGAAGATCCCCTGGAGAATGGAATGGCAACACACTCTAGTATTCTTGCCTGGAGAATTCCATACACAGAGGAGCCTCTCGGGCTACAGTCCATGGGGTCGCAGAGAGTCAGACATGATTAAGCAGCTAAGACCTTCACTTTCACAGCCGAT